ACACCGACCCGACCCCGCTGGAAACCCGTCGCCGAACCTCACGAAGCCTCGTTATATGCCTCAGTTTACGCTTCGCTAGGCATTTCCGAGTTGGCGTGGAGGGGGCAATTGTGAAGTGGTATTGGAAAACCGAGAAAGTTATTGAAGTTCAAATGCAACGGAGACGTGTACGGACCAGAACCAACAACGCGAGTAACAATTGCAATGTGTCATTCGTGACACATTTGACTCTGATGGCATCGTGCCTATACGATGTTCACAAAGACAGATCTGAAATACCTTGCACAGCAACAAACCCTGTGACTTTGGTACGATACAGCACTTACCGAATAAATATACAAAGGAATATGCACGAGAGACTGCGATTAGCAATACCAGCGTACGTCATATCGTTAAAACATCAAAGTTGAAAGTTTTGATCCCAAGACTTTTCCATGCATTAAATGAACATAATCCTGTTCGGAGAATACAATAAGCTGAGTGTTTTCGGAACACAGTGCAATAAGATGAGGCCTTTGTTGAGTAAGTTGTTTGGTCCGATGAGGCACAATTTAAGTTGAATAGAACTATTAACCGTCATAACTGTATCTACTAATGGGCAAAAAATCCACATTTTTTGTGGAAAACATTGTTTTGTGGAAACCTGGAATTAATGATTGTGTTGAAAATCTGGGGGTCTCCTTGGACCATTCTTTTTTGAAGTAATATTAACTGGCGGAGTGTACGTGGTTGCACACACGTGATTTTACCCACCATTCGTACACTCCATTGAAATCAGGAATTTTTTCTTCCTACAGGATTGTATACACCGTAGAAAAACAGCGAGTGTCAGCACTTCGGTAAGAAATTGAAACGGCATGAGCTGCATTATCTAAGAACATTTTCGCAAGCGTTGCTCAAACAGTTCAACGTACTCAGAAGTGTATCGTGACCGATGGGTATTTTTAGCATGTTATAACTGTTGTACATGTAGAAGTATGAGACATTGTACATGAAGAAGTAGATACATGATATGTTTATTGCATATTTTCTGTTTGTGTGAATTTGTTAAACTCTTTGATTGTTTTTTATTTGTTGCGTCTAGATTGACGTAACAATGTTCCAATAACATCCGCCGAGGTAATAACTACCGCATTCATAAATTTAAAGCGATCAACTTATACTTACGGATATACTTACTATGCCATTAGACATAGTCTTGTACCCGTAAATCCTACATCAATTAATTGTGTGTCTTAAGGTTCATCTTACTGTCAAAAATAGACAGTTTAAAACAAACTGTTGTTCTTTTCTGACAATACTTATTGCCTACTGCAAATTATCACCTAGTCTGGATCTTTGATCCATTGTGCAAAACTTTTTGGTTCAACGCTTAATTGATAGTGTTTTGTATATGCACAACGAAGGTCGCAATTGCTAAATGCTCTGCAGTTGTTCATACAACACACGTTAGTACGCGTTTATCCTCTGGCACACAGTTGCGATTGAATGCTAAAACGTTATAAAATTCTCAATATATCTTTAAATTGCTAATAAGGTAATCGGCTTATGTGGGAATTTCGACTCACTAATTAGGAAATATCAAAAATGAAAAATTCAAAAAACGGATTCATACGGCGGAGACTTTTATCGAAAAAAGTTGGAAGATGTAACAAAAATGACTGTAATTAGTTTGATTACGAATTTGATACATGTAAACAAGAATAATAGTTAGACATCATTAGTAAAAGCATTTATTAGATGCACTGCCATCTAAAAATGAGACGATGCTCAATTTCAGTAAAAACAAATTACTTCGTTGAGTTTACAGCTGTTACCCTAGATTACGAAGGTTCGTCTGTCAGACGACCAAACTACTGCCGAAAGATTACCCCACCTTCTCGTCACCACCCTTTCTCAACTGTGTGCTTCATGACTAGCGTAATAACGTATCGTTGTGCCATGCTATTTCTGTTACACCATTTTTAACACGCTACGTTCCCAATAACTTCGCCTTTGGTATTACGTCATTGTTATATTGGTCATTTATTCGCCAATATGTAGCTTAATAAAATACAAATCTTCTGTCTGAACCATTTTTAGTTTTGTCTTCTGAACATTTACATCACCAATGACGATGACGATCATAAAAAAGATGCGTGATGAAGTGGGTCAACATTAGTGTAGCCGACTAAGAGTTCAAAAATTCAACTAGGAACTTTGTTTTCGAAATTTTGGCCAGTTTTTTTTGGCATTATATCCCAATTACGCCCATACCACGATACGAATGGTCGAAACGTCGGCAACATAGCATCGGACACGGCGTCACCACAGCCAAAATCATTCACAAGACTAGTCGGAAGCCTGGACCCCCATTCGATTCGATGCGCGTGTCGCCAGTGTCACCTCGACGGAGCACTCCCTGGACGCTGAATTGCCGCAGCGCCTCATCCAACAACTTACTGTCCGGGTTTCTCTCCGATTTAGAGTGAAGGATCGTGGGTTGTTGGCTCGACCCGCTGCACCTCTCGCAGGATGTCGTCTGCGAGTAGACGTGCAGCAGCACCTACGCCAAATTTGACGACGCGGCCCGTTATGTTGCCTCAGCACCAATTTGGGCATTGGATATGGAGAGGGCATTTGAAGCATGTCTCTAGAGAAGCGCGAGCAAATGATTACTCAGCAATGAAGGTGAATGATATTACACCTGTGGTTCATTTTATCGGCCTCGACTCGTCTTGCAAAACTTCTCCTATCTCCGATTTCACCGAATGACTTTACAAGATCACGAATAGACCTGACGGACAGGGACCCTGTATTGCAACAGGGAGCTTCGTTAGACTTAAAATTTTGGTTTTGGAATCCGATGGATGAAAGGAGTTCTGACTATTCTTCACAGACAATGTTACATCCGAACAGTGCCACTATCATAAATCGGTATATAGGTTTCTTCGGTACATTCACCCATTTAGCAACCATACTCGGTGCACCATTCGTGTAAAACAACGATTAATTTCAGTCGTTGTATGCCGAACATTACGATTGTTTACTTTTACAACGAATCCGTTATCGCTTCCTACTCAGCCGAAACTTAGTAGAACTACTCTCCGCTTTAATCTCAAGCGCTTATGCTTTGTTAATATAATTTACGACAATATCGGGAAAAATCCAGGTTTTTCAAGTCGTACTATTGAACATATAACAGTTAAAACTAGGACATATTTGAAATGCAAAACCCTTTAACAGTACTAACAGCTTTTATTGAAAATCTGAGAATTTCTGACTCTATTTTTGCTTTATAAGGATTACCGTATATTAAATACGTATTAATTAATATTATAGTCTGATTGTAATGTTACGAATAGTAAACACACGTCTACACAAGTAAATATTAGCATCTTAATATACTTAGAATTGTAACCCCATTTTACTTCAAACATAATTATAGGATGTTTATATAGTATGGAAATTTATACAATTATGTCACCTATAGTAAACAACTGTTTTTTTTCGTGACAGTCAGGTGCATCATGTATCAGCATAACCTCCAAATTCTAATTCTTATACTTAGTTTATTATCTTATGATTTTAATAACTGAGTAAAAAATTAGCATTAAGATCTGACCGTTTTATATAGCCACGGCGGTGCGGCTAAGAAGGTGATGAAGGCGTTTTCAGAGTTGCAACAGTATTTGGCATATGCATTGCACCGGACTTGAGGGTGTTTTAGAGTTAATTGCGAGTTGATTATTCAGTAGAGTTTCCAAAAAAGGATACCCACGCAAATCTAGCAACCGCGACGAGACGTGACATACGGAAATAGACATAATGTAATGACGCATTATCCAAGCGCAAAGCGCTCGACTCCCCCCCCCCCCCCAATGCTTGAACGATTT